CGTCCACAGGGGCGGGGAGGGCCGTCCGCCAGTCCAGGTCGCAGGCCCGTCATCCGGGGGCTCTGTATGATCTCACAGGAGCTGGGTGAGGGTGGACAGAAACACGCCTAACCCCAGGAAGCATTTCAGAACCCCCCCGGCGATATCGCAGCACCGCGTTTTTCATTCGATCTTCCGAGGGGCCGAAATCACCGAACGATGGCTGTAGCACCCGAACACAAGGAGAGGCTCCTGGTGCCAGGTAACGCTTCCAGGGTGCGGAAGGGTTATCGATTTGCCGGAGCGGGGGGGGGGTTCTTAAATGCTTCCTGGGGTTACCGCAGACTGCATGCGGTGGAACACCTCAGAGCCAGGATGACTACTGAGTGACCAGACGGAGGATCGACGAGACCGACGACCGCAAGCCCGCTGAGTCATTCATGTACGCGCACCCCCAGGAGGCGGGATGGAGGAGCAAGGAGGAGAGAGGGCGTCTGGTCCCTGGAGGCCTGGCGGAGGGACACTGTAGAGGCCCCACGCTGCTCCCGGGCAGGCTTTGCTGCCCGGCGGAGGGAAAGGAGGGGAGGAGCAGGCCAGAACCGGCGGGCCAGGCGGGCAGGCGGAAGGGGGAGCTGGGCGGACACAGCAGGCAGGGATCCGGAGGAAAGGAGGACTAGGAGGGCTTCTTGGGGCCTCTAGAGGAGCAATCTTTGATCATACATCTGGAGAGTCTACGAGCGTAGGACGCGTAAACGACTTCTCACGTGTTTATCTTATTTGGGCCATCTTGGAATCATCGTGTGACTCTTAGGTGGTCATATGGGGGCCGGTTTGTCGACATGTATGTAGAGCCCTCTTGGGCTCTCCTGGACCAGTCTAGACACCCTCTTGGGACATCGCGGGGCTCTTTTGGGCCACCTACTGGCCTCCTGGGGCTGTGGCCGGGAAGCCCTGTTGGAGCCATCTTCGATTGAAACATTGGAATCCATTTGAACGTATCAGAAGACATGTAGTCGAATCCAACCAGGAGGTCCTACCATGTGTTTCACTGCCTATGGTCAGCTGGGGATGTTCTCTTGATTACGGCTCTCCTGTGGCCGTTTTGCAGCCGTTATGGGGTTATTTTGGAGCCTGCAGGACCCACCTTGGCCACCTTTGCAATGACCTCGGCGGTCTGGGGAGCTCTTGGAGACCTTTGACGCATTCCACGGCCAGCTCACTTAGGCCCGCCACCAGAGCCCCCGCGTCCCAGAGGCCCTGGACGCTAATTTTGGAAAGAGCGTGATCCACCGCCGCTTTACTGTGGACGATTCCCCCCCTCTTCCTCCGGAACCCGGGGTCAGTACCAGTTCGAGCCCCCCCCCCCCCTCCTTGCGGAAAACCGAAGGGGGTCACTACCGGTTCGAATCCCTCCCCCTCCAATCCCCCTCCCCGTGAAAACAAACCAAAGAGGGGCCACTACCAGTTCGACCCCCCCCCCCTCGAAAACGGAGAACGGAGGGGGGTCACTACCAATTCGAGCCCCGCCCTCCTCCCTCGAAAACCGGGGGGGATCACTACCGGTTCGGACGACCCCCCCCCCCCTTTCGCCCCCCCCCCTCTCGAAAACCGGAAAGGGTCACTACCGATTCGAACACCCCCCACCCCTCGAAAACTGAGGGGGGGGTCACTAACCGTTCGAACCGCTCCCCCCCCCCCCCCCCACGCTCACCGCCAGCAAACAACTCTGGGCCCCTACCACCGTCCGCACCACATCCCCCACTGCTGTCCCCAACACCACTGTCCTCACCACCACTGTCCCTACTGTTCCCCCCACCGTCACCACTGTCATCACCAGTGCCCCCACCACCGTCGCACTGTCCCCACTGTCCCCACCACTGTTCCCACCACGGTTCCACTCTCTCCACTTTCTCCACGGCCCCAACCACTGTCCCACTGTCCCCACTGTCCCCACTGTCCCACTGTCCCCGCCGCTGTCCCACTGAGCTGTCCCACTGTTCCCACCACTGTCCCCAGTCCCCACCACTGTCCCTACTGGACCTCTGTCCCATTATCCCACCGCCGTCCTCGCCACCGCCCTCACCACTGTCGCCACCACCACTATACCCTCCACTGTCCCAATGTTTCCACCACATTCCCAGTGTCCCCACACCACTGTCCCCACCACCACCGTCCCCACCACTGTCCCACTGTCCCCACTGTTCCCACCATTGTCCCCGCTGTCCCCACCAGTGCCCCCACCAGTGTCTCACTGTCTCCGCTCTACCCACCATTGTCCCACCACGGGACCACTCTCCCGACGTTCCCCACGGTCCCCACCTTTGTCCCGCTGTCCCCACTGTTCCCACCACTGACCCACTGTCCCCGCCGCTGTCCCACTGTGCTGTCCCACCGCCCCCAGTCCCCATCAGTCCCACTGTCCCCACTGTCCCCACCACTTTCCCCATTGTACTACTGTCCCACCACTGTTCTCACCACCACCTTCACCACTGTCCCCACCACTACCGTCCCCACCATTATCCCACTGTCCCCACCACTGTCCCGCTGTCCCCTCACCACTGTCCCCACCACCACCACCGTCCCCACCACTGTGCGCAGCACTGTCCCACTGTCCCCGCACCACTGTCCCCACCACCACCGTTCCCACCACTGTCCCAACATCCCCACCATTCTCCAACTGTCCCGAAGACCGGGCATCGTTTGCCGGCGGCGAAGGGGGGAAGGGGGGGAAAGGGGGTTCGAACCAGTAGTGACCCCCCCCAATTTTCGAGGGGGGGGGGCTCGAACCGGTAGTGACCCCCCCCGGTTTTCGAGGGGGGGTTCGAACCGGTAGTGACCCCCCCCCCTTTTCATGATGGGCGGGGGGGGGCATTCGAACCGGCGTGACCCCCCCCAGTTTTCAAGGGGGGGGGGACGGGTTAGGAACCTCCAGTGACCCCCCTGGGTTTTCCGACAGCAGCGGTAGAACACGCTCTTTCTAATCTTGGGACCACCCTGGAATCATCCAGAAACATCTTTAGACGCTCATCCACTGCTCCGAGGCCCTTAACATGCGAAGATACCAGACGAATGCTGTTTTGTACCATTTGTTTGCCGGCTGGGGGTCAGCGAGGCCTATCTTGTGGCTGCACTGCGAAATGGGAGCCTCCAGGGCCCTCTTGGGACACCCATGCCTTTCTGGGGCACCCCGGGGTTACCATGGCCGCCTTCCCGGGGTAGCCCGGGGTTGCCCCGTCCGCCTTTCCGGGGACCCCCGGGGTTACCCAAGTCACCGACTCGCACTGAGGTGCCCGCTGGGAAGTACGGTCAGCGCCACCGCAGCCGCGTCGGTCGCGCCAAAGTAGATGGCCGCTGTGCGCGCGAGAATGCGCGGGCTGGCGCGGCCGCTAACATGCACCAGCCAACACCAAGCACTCATCGCGATTTGGGGGTCCTCGTGAGCTGACTTGGGGGCATCTTGGGCCATTTTGGGGCCCCCTTGGGAGCCTCTTGGGCAATCGTGGAGCGATTTGGGATGCCTCTTGAGCCGTCTTGGTGGCACTGACGCCAGAATGCGCGAATACCCTAGAATACTGCGAATACCTGAATCAATCATGACATGTGGGCCTCTTGCAGCCCTCATGAAACCGTCATGGGGCGTCTTGGGCAATTTCGAAAAAATACTGGGCCGTCTTAGGGGTCCTTATGGGTAGGCCCGTGGCCCTCTCGGACCGTCGTGGAGCCCTCTTGGGAACATCTCAAGCCATTTTCGAACTCTCAAGCGGCTTCGGGGGCGGATGCCCACGCAAAGCCGGAAAGGTGCTTTGACGATGCACTCGAATGTCTAAGTAATGCCGTGGAGGTACGCCGTGGAATTACAATGGCGGAATCCATTCCAACCGATCTGCGCGTAAGTCTCGCAAGTGAAAGACAATCCAGGCAAAGCTAAACCAGCAAACAACTCTCCGATTTCACACCAGGCCCATCCAGCAGACTTCAACGCAATAGTCACATAAAACACGAGCAAACCAGTAGAACGCCGAACTATGGTAAACTGAACTGAGCTGGCAAGAGCATACGCGATGCATCTGGAAGTGGGACGCAACAGTGAAAAATGAGCCACAGTCAGATTACGGTCAATAAGCTTACGATGCGACGCGTTATCATACGTTGGGATATGGCAAGAAACGGTAACCAAACCCTGCCCGATGGGAACTTTCAACGGAAATTGCAGAGCCCCCAAAGCAACGATGGCGCGCGAGGGAGGAGAGAACGTCAACGTCTGAACGTTGTGATGTCCACAGGACTCGGCCGATGCGACCGTGCACCGAAGCCGACGCAGGCGACGCCCAGCGTGCGCGCCCCCGCCGTCAAGGGCAAGACGTCGCAGAGCGCGCCGCTTGGGCGCAGAACAGACAAACACCCAAAGTGTACACCTTGCGAAATGCTTTAGAAATCATGGGTTAAGAAATTCATAGTCTCAGAACTTGAATAAAAAACCCAACATTTCCTTTAAAATCTCAAGATTTACATTGAAACGTTAAGAATAATCGAGACTCTGGCCGAAAACTTAAGTTTTCTTAAGCATCGCCCAAGGTGTACCCGGCTGCACACGGGAGCGACCCAAGGCAAGAATGACCTCTGGAGCGCGGCCTAAGGGGGGGGACCCCTCGGGAGCGCCGCCGGGCGCGCAAGCCACTGCTATCGCCGCATGGCGTTCAGCGATCGGGGGGGGCCCAATCGGCCCGCCCCAGAGGTCGCTCCTGCGAAACGTCACGCGACAGGTCATTCTTACGTGTAGCCGGTGTACGCGGACACTTGTCCCCATATCCTCCCGGCATCGCACCTTGGTGCCTCCAGCGTTGATGGGGAAACAGTCTATACAAAACATGCTTGCGGGTATGATTGCAAAAAACATGTGATCGGCCACGCTCTTTGCAGTGAGCGTGATCCTTGCTTCCCACAAGCGCGATACCTTTGTCGTCGCACTCCTGCGAAGAACAACATGCAAATAGCATGGCCGTACTTATCCACAACTGGGCCTATGGCGTGTGATCGCTGTCAAGAACAAAGCGATGCATTGCACGCCACACAACCGTGGAAAAGAAACAAGACGGCACGCACACCATCGGAGCATACTCGCGGGCACCCTCCTTGCTGGGCCTCTTTGGGGGCTGGTCTCTTGAGATTGAAGGCCTGTTGGGAGTCACTCGGAAGTATTGTAATCCCGCAGGGAGGCATTGGGCTCGTTCAAGCATTCGGGAACATTCAGTTGGGCCTCTGCTGCCTTCGTGCGCGCCGTGGAGCTTGCGATGAAAGGCAAGCCTTCGGGCATCTCGGTGCTGTGTTGGACGGTCTTGGGCCAACCCGTGGCCACTAGGTCCTGGTGTTTTTTTTTTGTTTTTGCCCTATTGCTCAGCCACACTCACTTGTAAACTACGCCAGGCTCGCGCCCCCCCAAGCCGCAATCCGTAGCAAACGACTCCAATTTCTGAGGTTGCGCCAAATTGCGTCCTCAAAGTCGCAGTCCCTCGCGCACTGCGCCAGACTTGCGCTCCCAAACCACAGCCCCTCGTAAATTACACCATGCTCGCGATCGCGAAGCTACCGCCCTCCGACAATTACGTCAGATTCGCCCTCCCGAGGCCACAATCCAGCGAAACGTATGAAGCCACAATCCCGATGTAAATTACTCTAGGCTCGCGCTCCCGAGGTCACAATCCTTTGGAATGTGCAACATGATTGCGTCCCGAAGCAACAGCGTTTTTATGTTACGCCCAATTCGGGCTTCCCCAAACAGACCCCCTTGTAAACTACAAGACATCACGTTTGCATCCCCGAAGCTGTCATCTCTGGTGAATTGCCAGATTTTCGCGCTACCGAGGCCACAACTGGTAGTACGTTACTCCGTTACTCCGGACTCGCGCTCCCCACCCCGCACCCCCTCGCGAATTATTACGCGGTGACGCCGCCGACGCCAAACCCGTCGCAGATGACACCAAATTCGCGCTCCCGGGGGCATAGCCCGGACATCTTACGATAAGCATGCGTCCCCGAAGCCCCAATCCCGGTTTCACCCCCGAGGCTGCAAGCCCACCCCGCGGATCATGCCCCCGAGCGCCCACCCCGCTCCAGAACAGCAGGACTGTCGCTTGCCCTGCTCTGAGAGGAGCAGGACCTCCCGAGAGAGCGCCACGCTTGTTCGAGCGGCGGCCGCGAGGGATCGAGCAGCGCGCGAGCGACGGCGGGGTGCGGGCCGAGGCGGACGGAGGCACGAGAAGGAAATGGGGAGGCGCGCGCGGGACGCGGGGCCGGAGGAAGCCGCAACACAGCCCGGGCACAGCGGCGGGATGGGCCGAGGGCCGCCAAACCCGCCGCCCGCGCAGCCGACGGGGTGGCGCCGGCGCGCCCCCCCATCATTCGGGCTCGTGTCGGCCCGTCCAAAGCGTTCCCAAGAAGGCTCTCGGCGGATCCGGCCATCCACCCGTGCGGGGCATGCCCCGTCGGCTTCCCCGCCCAATGCGGTGAGGGCGTTAGATAAGGAGCCATTGGATAAGGAACCCAGGGTCTGGAAGACGGTGGCACTCCAAGCGTGGATTGGCCATGAATATCAACGTCGCCCTCATCAGATAAGAAACACTCCAAGGTCTGAGGTCTCCTGGGTATATTCCTTGACCAACGCCCCCACCGTATGTCTCAAGGCAAATTCCCAGGGCTAAGACGGCCTCCGAGCCGGTCCCACGACGCCTCCAAGTCGGCCAAGACTCAAGATGGCCCCCGACGGCCCGACGGTCCAGGAGGCCTCCGAAGACTCGCCTAAGTGTTCTGAGGATGGTCGCGTTCTTTCGGGGCTCGACAATCGAAGACGGCCCCACAGGCCGCCAACACGGCTCCAAAACACGGCCAGAAGCCCCAAAGAGGACCCCAGGACGGGCCAATGGGCCCCAAGACGGCCCCAGATACCTCCAAGACGGACCTACAGTGCCCCGAGGGGGCCCCAAGACGGTTCAATGATGCCCCCAAGAGGCACCAAGAAGGACCCGCCTTTCAGAGGCCCCCAGAGGCCCCCAAGTGGTTCAAAACTTCCTTCTCTGTCTCCTCCCTCTCCGCCTCCTCTCCCGTCCTTGCCCAAGTGTTCCTCAGAGGGTTTCTGCAACAGCCGGGGGGCACACATTGTCCGATAGCTTGGACAAGCTTTGGCCCAATATTTGACCTCATCGGCGTCTCCAGAAATACAAGCAAGGGGCGGCGGTGACTTGTCCTAGGCGTGTTCGATGGACTCGTCCCAGGCGTGTTCGATGCTGTTTCAAGATTCCGACTGTCGGTAAGTAACTATGTCAGGGTGCTTCTGGGTGATCCTGGGGTTGACCGCCTGACTTTTCCAGAGCCCCGTGGAGCGCGGTCGGCAATCTAAACGTTCCAGAGGACCCAAGAGAAGCCCAGGGGCCCTCCTGAGGGGCTGCTGGGGGTCTCTCAAGGCTGTAGTGGGGGCCCTCAGGGACGGCCCTTGATGAAAAGACCGCTGTGATGGCATAATTGTGTCCATGCGGGGAAAAACACACAACACCCACACACACACACGCACACACTGTGGGGAAAACACACACACTGTGGAAAAAAATGACGTGTTTTTTTGCACACACACACACACACGTGTGTGTGTGTGTGTGTGTGTGTGTGTGTGTGTGTGTGTGTGTGTGTGTGTGTGTGTGTGTGTGTGTGTGTGTGTGTGTGTGTGTGTGTGTGTGTGTGTGTGTGTGTGTGTGTGTGTGTGTGTGTGTGTGTGTGTGTGTGTGTGTGTGTGTGTGCGTGTGGGTGTGTTCCCACGTGTGTGTTTTGTGTGTGTGTGTGTGTTTTGTGTGTGTGTTTTGGTGTGTGTGTGTGTTTTTGCCACAGTGTGTTTTGTTATGTGTGTGTTTTAGCCTTCACAAAATCCAAGCCGGCTGAGAAAGCCACCAATAGTTCGCCAACGACCGATGCCCCCAAGAAGAGCCCCACGGCCCTCCAGGACCGTCTAGATATAGGCCCCGACAGGAGGGCTCGAAACGGCCGCAGGACTCCTCCACCAAACATACCCGAGGCGTACCCTATCCTTTCTCCACGCGAGGCGGATATTCGTATGAACGCTCTATCCAAAGAGCCCTTCGCCAAATATCCTGCCTTATCTCCGCCGTGCCTCCCACGGGCCCACGGAAGTGGCAACAATATCGCAGTTCGCAGCCTCCCAAGGAGCAGCGAGGTCTCGGCTGGACCCGCGAAACCCTCGACTCCGCTGGGCCTCCCATGAGCCCACGAACGTGGCGGCAATTGCGCAGTTCGCAGCAACCCAAGGAACAGCGAGATATTACATTTGTGCGCGCGGCCCCCGACTCCGCTGGACCTCCCAAGAGCCCACGACAGTGTTATCGGTTGCGCAGCTCTCCCAAGGAACAGCGAGCTTTCAAATGGGTCCGCGTGGCACCCGACCCCGCTGGACCGCCCAGGAGCCCACGAAGGTGGCGACATTGCACAGCTCCCAGATACCCAGGGAGCAACGACGTCTCAAATGGGTGCGCGTGGCCCCCCAATCCGCTGGACCTTCCAAGAGCCGCGAACGTGGCGTCACTTTCGCAGTTCGCAGCGAACCAGAGAACAGCGAGGCCCCCACTGGGTGCGCGCGGCCCCCGACTCCGCTGGACCTCCTGGGAGCTCACGAGCGTGGTGGCAGTTGCGCAGCTCACAGACACACAGAGAACAGCGAGGTCCCCAACCGGCCTGCGTGGCCCTCCGCTGGACCTCCCAGGAGCACACGAAAAGTGTGGCAGTCCTGCAGTTCGCAGCCACCCACGGAGCAGCGAGGTTCCCCAGAGGTCTGCGCGGCCCCCCCGACTCCGCTGGACCTCCGACTCCACGAGAGTGGTGGCACCGCTTTCGCAGTCCGCAGCCACCCAGGGAGCAGCGGGGTCCCAGGTAGGTCTGCGTAGAACTCCGCCCCGCTGGACACCTCCCAGGAGCCCACGCACGTGGCGACGGTTGCGCAGTCCGCTGCAACCCAGGGAGCGGCGAGGCCTTAAATGGGTGCGCGTGTAACTCCACCCCTGAAGGGGCCCTGGAACACACAAATAAATACACACAAATAAATGGATCCCCCATATTTTCCTATATTTTCTGGGTTTTTGTCTTCCCCCCCACTTCCCATATTTTCCTATATTTTCTGGGGAATCGACGATTAATTGTGTCTGTGTGTTTTTCTCCCTCCTGAACCCCGCTGGACCTCCCAGGAGCCCACGAACGTGGCGACAGTTGCGCAGCCCGCAGCCCCCCCCCCCGAAGGGAAAGGCACGAGGAGGGGACACAAAGGGGGCAGAAGGCAAGAGGACGAGCGAGGAGGCGGAGGCGGTGGGAGGAGGGCAGCAGATCAACATGCCCTGCTCAAAACGAGAACCCGACACGCAAGAGGAGTGGGAACCATTGCCCCGAGACCGCCAGCAGGCCCCCGTGAGGGCCCCCAACCGAATCCGTTCAGCCCCACAGCCCCAACGAGGCCGCCCCTCCACGGACCTCTGGTCCAAGACCCTGGCACAGTGGCGGGATCGACCGAAGGCCACCAGGCTTGATCTGACAGGGGCGTCCTGGAAAGCTCCTGTCAGACTCTGAGGGCAGATCGGGGACCTCGCGGATACGCCCCCGTGATCAATTCGAGCCCTGAGGACATAGACTGCTTGTCCATGCAATTGTTTCATGTGCACCTCGTGCTCCGTGGGGTCCACAGAGGTTTGCGACTGGCTTGTGGGTGACCGTAGGCGCACCGCTGCGCTTGCCGCTGCATCCATCGCACGCGCAGCCCCAGATCTTCGGGAGGACAGCGCGATTGAGAGCAGGAATCAAATCCATGGGCAAGTCCAAGCATGGTCCTGACAAGCCGAACAGGCGGGAGAAACAACCAAACCTCACGCGCTGACAAACTGATCCGCGCGTGAAAGCAGTCTTCGGTTGCCCTGATGCAAAGAAAGCAACCTGTCTTCAGACTCCGCGACTGCGCCGCCTGTCCTACCTTGCGGGTCCAGGCTCGTGCTGAAACCGGCAAGCATTAAACACGACATCACATTGCCGTCTCGCGTCGCGTTGCTTCGAGCGTCCGCGCTGCCAAGTCCTGGGAGGAATCCGCGACGGAGTGGCCAAGGGGGTTGGAAGTGCCTAGAAGCCCAGACCTCCGAATCGCAAAACGTGTCACGTAGCCTCGTCCCTACGGTCATGGCACTGCCAGGGGGGACGCCGAAGAAGGAGCGAAGGGGCGTTCCTGGCCACGACGGGCCTTCTTCACGAAGAGGCTCCCCGCCCTAGACCTCGGGAACGGCCCGACACTCCAAGCCCCTCCTGAGCCCAAAATGGTCCTTATGCAAACGCCGTGACTGTCTCACAAAAGGGGTGTAGTGACGGAGACTGTGCCTGGAAATCGCCCTGAAAGTGACCCCGACCGGCGCCCGAGATGTTCCGACCGCGCTCGAGTGCGCCCGAAACGCTTGACATTGAAAACATACCACGACCTTCGATGTTGGTCACAAGTTTGGTCGCACGACTGTTCTGGTCACAATTTCGGGCTAGTGTTCGGTCGCGGAGGAGAAGGAGGAGGAGGACGAAGAGGAGGAGGAGGAGGAGGAGGAGGAAGCGATCAATGCATGCTTTGTTGGTCTTGGTGGTTTGGGGGTGCTGGGGGGGGGGGGGGGCGACCATCTATGCATACATATACATACATGTCATATGTCCATACATGTATACATGTATATATAATGGTAAATATATATATATATATGAATGAATGCTGTTCCCTTTGGGGTTCGAGGGGTATATCTACGCCTGGGGTGGTGTGGTGAGATGGTGGGGCTCGGGATGGGGATGGGGTTAGGGATGGGATATGGGACGCGCAGGGACATACTATTACTATATGTCCTCCTTGGAGGCGCGCGTCCGACCCGAACACATAGTAGACCCATCTTGTAGTATATCGTCTCCCGAGCGGGGCGGCCAGACATCGCCCGCCGCGACGCATGTACCAGCAGATTTCTCGGTGCGCGCGTCGCCCCTGGGGGGGCGACGCACACATAGTATTATCGGGGATGGACAGAACTCCCTTTAGTAAAACGTGGTTTAGCGAAAACGACCCGAGGCCAAAACCTGGTGGGCGCAAGCCTGGAAAACAACGGCCACGGCGCCCCCTCGAGAACCGAAAACGGACAATTCACTAATCGACGTGTCACTGTTGGGGGTTCTATCCGCCCCCAGTATTAGTGCGAGTTGCCCTGGAGGCTTCATGCAGTTTCCCGAGATGCCAGACACACCAGCCTCTTCCGCGGCCGTTTGCCTCGGACAGGGGCCTGGGCCGCGGCCCCTTGGGAGGGACTCACTGAAGGGGCCCTGGGACACACACACACACACACATAAATACACACACATAAACAAAAAACATGTTTCCCCATCTTTTCTGGGCTTTTGTCTTCCCCCCCACTTCCCATATCTTCTAATATTCTCTGGGGAATGGACGATTAATTGTGTCTGTGTGTTTCTTTCCCTCCTGATTCACACGTGCTCGAGCCGAGACTGAAAAGCAGATATCCCAGGAGCTCACGCTTCTACCGCCGCTCCACTGAATTCGGTGGCAGCGGAGCTGGCTGAAGCTCCACGCGGAGCGCCAGCGCGCTTCAAGAGTGGAGCGAGCTCACCCTGCTGGAGCGGTAAGAATCTTGACGACGATATCTGTGCGACCGAACAGGCGGATCCATGGGAGGCGAGGAGGAACACGAGGAGGACCGAGAGTATGTGGCTCCAGTCGGGCGTGACGGTGGTCCAGGTGTGAGTTCCGGTCGGTACGTTTCACCTCCAGACATCAAGGACTCGACGATCGAAGAGCTGCGACGATATGTGAGACGGCTTCGGATCTGGTCCAAGGTGGCGACGGGGATCCCGGCGCAGCAACGCGGGCTCCACGCCTACTATGGCATCATGGAGGGCGGCGACGATCGGATCCAGAGCATCATGGAAGAGCTCGACTTGACGGAGCTCGAGGGCGAAGATGGTGCCGAGAACATCGTAAGGGCTCGGAGCAGGAGATCATGCCGAAGAACGTCTATACGAGGTATATGGAGTTCGAGCACACGCTCTTTGGATCCGAGCGGAAGAAAGGAGAGACGCTCCAGCAGCACTCGATGAAGATCAAGAAGGCCTTCGACCGCTTGAAGAAGCTCCAGGTGACGTTGGACGACGCACAGGGCTACTTCCTGGTACGCCAGGCGAAGCTCGACCACACGGAGCGGATGGCGGTGATCCTGCAGACATCTGGCTCGCTGGCCTACGAAGATGCGCGGACGGCGCTAAACGGCCTCAGGGATGACAGCTCGCTGGAGAAGAGGACGAGCGGGTGCCAGGGCGACAACTCGGGGCAGATCAGGACGGCAAAGGCGTACCAGGTCGACGAGGAGGTCGGTTTCGAAGAGGATGAGGACCCGATTGCGCAGGCCCTGGTCGCGCTGGAGCACTCCGAGCTGGGCGACGACCTCGCGGAGGAGGACGTGATCGATGAGGACGAGGCGTACGCGGTGCTGGCGGCCTGGCAGACAGGACCTGGCGGGCGCGGGAGCTGGCAGGAGACCCGAAGGATCGTGCGGGACCGCAAGACCTCGAGAGGATACCGGGACGCCAGCGCGCCAAAAGGGAAGCCCGGCGGACGCGGCAAGGGCAGCTTCGAGTACCAAAAGGAGGCCAAGAAGAGGATCGAGGAGCTGAAACGGAGGACACGCTGCCACAGGTGCGACCAGGTTGGCCACTGTACGAGAGAGCGCAAGAGCCCGCCCAAGCAGAAGAGCAACACCGAGCACGCCAGGGCAATGCACAACAACGACGACCACGAGGAGCCGGAAGATTTTCACGTCTTCGACTTCGGCAATGAGAACCCGGCGACGAGCACCACCGAGAATGTGGCCATCAACGTGGAGGTCAGTGAGGCACCACCGCCGCCCGGTGCCGACGATGATGCGCTGAAGATCAAGAACCGGGACCGTAGGCTGCGCGCGAATGCGCGCCGGAAGGCCGCGCAGGCCTCGAGCGCTACGCCCTCCACTCCAGCACCCACGGGGATCGAGATGGGTCCGCCCAGGTTCCGAGAGTGCCTCGAAGAGGCCAAGAAACGTCTACGACTTTTTTCGCCGGCTGAGCTCCTGGGGACCCTGGAGGGCATGGTGGACACTGGGCGTTCCGGGCTAATCGTTGGGGATTTTACGAGTGCTATGCACGACTATGCTCTCAGGAGGCTGTTTGGGCTATGTATTAGATACGTCCCGTGTGTTAACCGGAGTTTTCACTTCGCGAACGGCCAGGGGGCTCAGTCAAATTGGGTAGCTGAATATCCGATTGGTCTTGGGGGCGAAATGGGATTCTCAAGTTTTGTATCGTTCCGGGCTGGACACCGCTGTTGATCTCCGAGGGCTTACTCGAGGACATGTCGGGGATCGTGGACACTTCCAAGGGACAACTCACTTTTGGGACCCTGGGAGTTACCGTGACCCTTCGTCGCTCCCAAGAGAACCCTAAGACGAAGCAGTGGCGCCTTCCTCTGTGCGACTTTGGTGCTCAGGGCTTCCAGAGACCAAGGAAGGCGGAGACTAAGGCATCTGAAGTGGTGTGCGTCTCTGACGATTCGATCGCGCAGGAAAAGAAAGAGCTGGTTCATTCTCTCATCTCTCGGTGCGGAGGCCCGAGGGACCTCTCAGAGGGCGAGAATCCTGAGCGCATCACGAATGCCATACCAAATCCGACTGCGTCGCCTCAAGATAGGGCAAAATCAAATAACAGAACGAGGCCTGAGGAAAAGTCGGAAACGGAAACGATACCGAAGACCCGCCCGTGAACACCGATTTCGAGTTCGAGTTCGATTACTGGTCCGAGTACGTAATTTTCGAGTTCGAGAACGCCGATGATCAGAAGCCCAGGGACTTCGGAGACCTCTAGAGCAGCTATTGTGACCTCCTCAGGAACTTCGGGAACTGGGACTCCAGAAACTGACGAAACCGTGGAGACGGCGCATCGACCGAGCAGCCCGCGAAACCCCAACTGGAATGATCCTCAGCCATTTTGGCCCAGAGTGCAAGCCACCAGCAAGCATTCCATAATTACCTACTCGGCGGATGCCGACTCCACGAACCAACCGCATCGCAGAGCTATGGGCGTACCTCGTACGCTACCTGTCGCTGCTGCGCTGGGCAGGCACAGGCACTGCGCTGCGGCTTCCGGAGACCGCAGAGGTTCAAGGACGTTGGCATCACGGTGGACGTCTACTCGTACATCGGAGGGGACCCCGAGGCGGCCAGCAGCTCTACGAGGCAGCCTCCCCGCAAGCTGAGGTGGATCGCGAGTGCGATGCCGACTCTGAAGGTGGAGCTGGTGGAGCTATGTAACAACTGGGAGATCTGGCTGCCAGACCTCCCACAGAACATGAGGATAGCAGATCTGCAGGAGGCACTGCAGGACTACGACGCCAACCTCACCGAGGACAGCATCAACCCTGAGGCGCTGGCGAAGAGCTGGGACTCGAAGAAGATCCTGTTCGGGGGAAGACCTACGAGGAGGTGTACACCATCGACCCGACTTAACTGCACCTGGATCCAGACATCGGCGACACGCTTGAACGACGCGACGAAGCAACTTATCCAGAACGCCGAGATCAGGAGCGACCTGGAGGCGAAGCACCACGTGAATCCAGGCGGCGACCAGACGCGGCGACCGAGGACCAGGGCGAGGAGGACGGACGAGATGCCGGAGCCCAGGGACGCGAGGATGACAG